ACTCTGATATTAAATTAGCCTCCTCAGTATTGAGACTGTAGAGTGATTTGATGCTTAAAGCAGGTTCATCCTCTGCACTATAAAGTATGAATTAATGTGTTGACAGCCACATAGTTTGTTAGCAGTTCTTGGATATCTGTGGGATCAGGTGTTAAAGTGTCTTTGTCGTGCTTCCTCTGTGCTACACTGTCAGGACTATGCATTCACTGTGGTAGTCCTGACCTGGTTCATGTCAAACATGCTGGGCCACATCTGAGACCAACACATCTGTTTTGGTCGACTGTGCTCCCAATTGGCTTCTTTTCATTTTTACATTTTTTTTCTCACAAAGTTCATAGAGGTGGGCATTATGTACTGTGCATGTTATGGTCTGAGCTGTCACAAAGACGCTGATTTCCGCTGATAATGGAGTGCCTCATATGTATGTCTTGAGGAGATAACTACTGTTTTTCTGTGTGTTTGCGTTTATGCCAGCAAGTTGACTGGTAATAACTTAATATGTTGGCAGCCACAGTATTTGTCAGCAATTCTTGGATATCTGGGACGTCAGGTGTTAAAGTGTCTCTGTCCTTTCTCCTCAATATATTATGATGACCTGTGACAGGAATCCCACCTTCATGCTTCACTGTCAGGACTATGCATTCACTGTGGTTCATGTCAGACATGCTGGGCCACATCTGAGGCCAACAATCTTGGCCTCGTCTAACCAAAGAATGTACTCAAGCTTCTTTTCATTTTCTTTGGTTTACTCTTGCAGTTTTGTTTTTGTTGGATGGCGTCCATAGAGGTGGGCATTATGTGTTGTGCACGGTATGATCTGAGCTGTGACAAAAGCTACGATTTCCGCCGAAAACAGAGGGCTGCTGAAGGAGTGGAGTTAACGGTAAAGAGCAGGCGGCTAAAGCACGTCTTGAGTGCTTCCAAGAACTTCCACTGTGTGCTTGCATTTGTGTAAGCAGCTAATGTGAGTTATCGCAGCTGAAACTCAACACAAACCACTCTGGGATTAAGTTACCATCTTCAGTGTTGAGATTGGCATGTCATCTGATGCTCCAAGCAGGTTCATCCCCTGCACTTAAAAGTACAGTTTAAGATGTTGGCAGCCGCATCATTTGTTAGCAATTCTTGGATATCTGAGGATCAGGGTGTTAAAGTGTCTTTGTCCTGCCTCCTCAGTATAATATGATGACCTGTGACTGTCAGGGCTGTGCATTGACTGTGGTAGTCTAGACCTGGTTCATGTCTAACATGCTGGACAAAATATATCTATCTTGGTCTCACCTGACCAAAGAATGAGCTCCCAACATTCGTCAAGCATCTTTTCATTTTCTTTGGAAAAGTTTACTCTTGCAGTTTTGTACCAAACAGCAAGCAAGGTTGTTGTTGTTGAATGCCATCTGCAGACGTGGGCATTATGTACGAAGCACGGTACCGTTGTTGTATTGCATATGGACCCCCTTGAAAATGGACCCGGGGTCAATATTCCACAGCGGAATGTGGACACCCAGGTTAGGGTTAGGGTTGTTGTTATTCATTACCTGTTGACTTTTGTTGTCTATGTTCATATTTATTTATATTATTAAAATTATTAGGGGGGTCCATATTCTATATGGGGGGTCCATATTCCGCTGCGGGAAATGGACCTCGGGGTCCATGTTCTATGGGGGTCCATTTACAATCTTACACCGTCTGAGGCAGACTGCTGCAGTAAGTCTTGAGCTGATAACTGCGCTTCCTCCATGCGTCTACATTTATGTAAGCAGCTAAACAACTGAGCTCTCGGATTAAATTAGCGTCCTCAGTATTGAGACTGGTGTGTGATTTGATACCCAAAGCAGGTTCATCCCCGGCACTCAAAAGTACAACTTAATATGTTGGCAGCCACATAATTCTTGGATATCTGGGGATCAGGTGTTAAAGTGTCTTTGTCCTGCTGCCTCAGTATAATATGATGACTTATAACAGGGCTATTGTCCATCATATCACCCTCTTGAGGTCCAGATGTATTGTTAAACCGCCTCTTTGTGTCTCTCTGTTTCCTCGTCGGGTGAAGTGGCACTATGCCCGCAGCTACTGTGGATCACAGCCAAAGAATATGTGAGGTTTGGGCCAACAACCTGGAGGAAGAGCTGAAGAGGATCCGACATGTCATTCGAAAATACAACTACATTGCTATGGTGAGTGAGCGGTGTCGTCCTCGTCTCGTCCCACGCTTCTGTTTGATCCGCCCAGATGTCCATTGTTCGTAATGAGTCGTCTTCTTGCAGGACACAGAGTTTCCAGGTGTTGTAGCCAGACCGATCGGAGAGTTCAGAAGCAACGCTGACTATCAGTACCAGTTACTGCGCTGCAATGTGGATTTGCTCAAGATTATACAGCTGGGCCTCACATTTATGAACGAACAAGGGGAATATCCTCCTGGAACATCAACATGGCAGTTCAATTTTAAGTTTAACCTCACGTAAGATTGCTGCCTCGTCTCTCTGTTTGTTTTTTTTTCTCATATGACATTCCTGTGCATCCGCGGAATGCATTTAAATATATCAGTAGAATTTACAGTAAGCAGAAAATGAAGGATTTTAGCAAAACGCAGCTTCCAAGGGAACACGTCTGCACTGCATGATTATACAGCTCAGACTGCAGGCATTTGGACAGTTACACTTTTTTGTGGTCTTCAGGGTCTGTCACAGCACATTTAATTTGAAATATGATTATAGCTTCCGAAATAAAGTCTCGGCTTTAATTTCAGCATGTTTACATCCGTACAGAAGGAACTGTGTGGGGAGACATTACCCTTTTAACACACACACGTTTTGGTGCTCAAAAGCATTTAGACAGATTGGCTTAAAGACAATCGAGTGTATGATATTTTATGTAAAGTCCTCCACATATATCAGCTTCTGTCCTCCCTGCTGATGCTCTCGCAGGCCTTCACTTTTAGCTCTTTCTTGTTTTACCGACTCTCTGCCTTTAGCAAGAGGAAAGCAGTGAGATCAGCTCATTAACCAGTCGAGATCACCCACCTCTTCACTTTTGAAAGCTCCCGGGTCAAAGATCTATCAGTGCGTCGGTCTGTTTAATGAAGCCATGCAAAGGTTTACCTTCCTACTATAAATATTTTCAGAGTTACAGACCCTTGAAGTACGTAGGGCTGAGCTGCTTCATAAATACAGGAGGAAGACGAAGTAATTTTCCGAGTTAAAAGACGCATTTGAGCTCAGACATATTTTGACAGTTGCAGCTTATGGTTGTGAAACAGAGACATTGATGTTCACATATTTTTTTACATTTTTTTGAGCAAATCATATAAATCAAACAATTTTGGAGCTTTTAGTGTTGGAGAGTCTTTCAAACGGTGCTCTGATGCTACTTTAGTGTTCATGTGGTGGTGATGATGTGTAGTTTTATTATCTAACACTCGTCTTTTCCGCAGAGTCAGGAAAATGATCACACAGAAATCATAACGGTTTTAATACTCTGAGTAAATGTGACGACAGTAAAAATTAGTTTGGACTACGCTGGAATCATAACTTTTATCAACATGTCAGTAAAAATGAGACCTTTCATTTGCTTTACCTTGTTTTGACCAACCACTTGTCCCACGCGGGGATTTGACACTCAAAGGATTAAAGTTTTCTCCAGTGAGTTATCAGATAACACATCCAAGGTACCAGCGCTTGTTTCTATGACTCTGTGACACATTTTAAACTGGTTTCGGTTTTGCTGTTGGAAGTTGGCTATTGAAAAACTTGTGCTGAGCAAAACCCAGATTTTGTGTTTACATCGTGACACCTGGAGTAGATGTGAAATTGATGCAATTTTATGAGGCCTTAAAAATGCTGAGGGGGGAAAAAAAATGCAAAAAATTCAACCCACTCCTGTGTGCTTCAAGGGCCTCTAACCTCCGACTATGAATCTGCATGGCTTTATTAAATATATTAAACTTATTGCGCACAAAAAGTCAGCTGATTCAGAGGGAGTCAGGTAGGATCTTTTTTGTTTACATTTGATTTTGTATAGAATTTGCTTGTTGTGGTCGTTTGTTGGTGTTGTCTTGTTTTGCTGTATTTGGCTGAATACACACAAAGCTCCTGTATATCTCTGTACTCATCCTGCTGCTTCCTTCAGCAGTGAAGTCATGGTATGCCACTTCTACTGGCAGCTTTACATGTCTATACCTTAAAGCATCGCCATGTTTGACGGATCATTTCTCCACACTTTACTCTTTCTGTCGTTTTGATGGAGGTAGATTTCTACGTTCCTTTGTTTTGTGTTTTTGCAAACACCAACCCGGTGTTCCTGAGGCTTCTCAGTGGTTTGCATCTTCTGGTGAATCCTCTGAGATTACGGTCACAAAGTCTTCTTTTAATTATTGACTAGGAAACATGTTCGCCTGCATCCTGGAGAACATTCTTGACTTGCTGTGAAGCCGTAAACAGCTTTTTCTCTTCATTGTGCAGATGTTTTTTGTGCTGATCAACAAGACTTCAGTCTGCTCGTCTGTCTGCCAGGTTTTGCCATTTCCTGGTTTTCTTCTGCTTTTTAAGAATGACCCAAATGGCAAACAACTACCATTGATATCTCTCTGATAGCTTTCTGCTTTTTTAGCCTTCTTGTTATCCTCTTCGCTTGCATTGTCATCTCTTTACTTTTGCAGTTTAGACGCTGTGTGTTGGGTTTTTATCTCCCACACAGTTCTCTCTATATAATTTAAAGCTGAGACTTGGCATTTTAATTCACTATCAAATATTTTATTGCAGTTGAATTTGCTGAAGCCTGATGAACACAAATGTGTAACTGTCTAAATAATTACAGTCTTTACTGTATGTCAGATTAGAACCAGCAATTAGGTCACTCTAGCTAAAGGAAGAGTGTCTCAGTTTGCTTACAGTCGACACAGATGAGACATCAGGTGATTAGCTGCACATGTAGCTTCAGAACGTATCACAGTTATTGCTCACACCACTGTGTAAAGTTGCATATTGTCAGTTTAGGCATTGATTGAGAGCAACATTGCAAATTCTTACCGCTGCTAGAACACTACCTCAGACACAAGCTGCAGATTTCAGACTATTGTTTTATCACCGTTGCTGATGTCTTATCGACTCGACCGTCCCTCGAGGCTCAAATAATAACAGCGTGTTTTCTGTGTTTGTCCTTCCCATCAGAGAAGATATGTATGCACAAGACTCCATTGAGCTCCTGACCACTTCAGGCATCCAGTTCAAGAAGCACGAGGACGAAGGCATCGAGACACTTTACTTTGCAGAGCTGCTGATGACTTCAGGAGTGGTGCTCTGCGACGGCGTCAAGTGGCTGTCTTTTCACAGGTATTCTGCTTTTTGCCATCCGTAGTTATTTGATCTGCAGTCGGTTGTATTGGAATTCTGGCAGCTGCACTGGAGATGGCTGTGCAGTAATATTTATCATCAGCTGTAGCTTCACTTAGAGTTTTGTACTCGGATGGTTAAGAACCAAACATTCATCAGCTACATGTTGCTTGGATTTTGGTATCACAGGGTCCAGACTAACTTTTGCACTCTTTCTCAGTTGGTAGTTTGGTGTTATTCCGCCCTGTGTGCTAATAGATACCGTAAGTTACAGACAATTGAGCGCACCTGAATGTAAGCCGCACCCACTAACTTTAAAAAGAAAATAAGTTTTGCACATATGCAAGCCGCACTTGTCTGTAAGCTGCAGGTGTCCACGTTGTAACATGAGATATTTACACAGAAAGGTTTTTTTAACTTTTAATAAAATATGTACTGGTAATATACACAAATACGTAAATGCTTTTTTCCAAACTGGCTAAAAAACACAAAAAATACAGCAGCCTACCAGGAAAAGTCATTGATCGCTATCTTCATCTTCCTCCTGCCACTAAAACCACTAAAGTCGTCTTCTTCAGTGTCGGAATTGAACATCTTCAGAATTACTTCCTCAGTCTCTCTTTCGTTGTCGCTCTCAATGTCACTTTCGTCTTGAGGCAAATTTGTAAAAATCCATAAATTAGCCACATCATTGTTTAAGCTGCAGTGTTCAAAGCGTGTGAAAAAAAACGTAGCAGCTTATAGTCCGGAATTTACGGTACTTATCTTTACATAAACTCCTTTTACATTGATGTAAAGCTTGTTAGTTACACTTAATATTCTTAAAATCTAAACAAATAACTTGTCTTTTCCTGGAGGCTGTTTGGTATCACTCCTATTTACTGTGCACAGGCTAAACTCCTCACCTGCTGAACATCTGCTAATGGAGAGACGCTACAACTAACCGATATTCTCTAAACGCCTCACATGCATGTTAGCCAGGCAGCTGCAGTGCAGTAGCTCAGACAGCTGTGTGACCGAAAATTTGTTCAAAATAGTGAAATATGGCGTTCTGTTGTCAGATTCGCCCAAGTTGAAGTGACTGTCTTTACATGGGTTGTTTTCTTTGAGCAAACCTTTCCACTAGCGGAGTGTATTTTAAACGTCAGCACTGCAGTCAGTCATGTTCATTTATTTATGGGTAAGTCATAGTTGCTGTTAATGTTTGTTTAATTTTTCAACCACAGCGCTCATTATTTTTGATTGAATGTAGTAAGCTACTTTTTCTTCTTCACTAACTCGACCTACATTCCACTGTCCACACTTCAGTACTATATAGTCGTCCAGAAAAAGATTTAGTGCGTCCCAGGACATAGTATGTCAAATGTACAGCCGGATGTCCTTCTACATGCGGGTGGATTTTGCAGTATGCGAGCCAGCATGCTTTGCTGACCTACAATCCTTTGCAGAGTTACGTCACACAAGTCACAGTGTTGCACATGAATATACACCAGCTTAAGCTGCTGACGGTGCACAGACAGATGACAGCTCGTTTCACGCTGCAGACTGGGATGGGTAAAGTTTAAGTCGCTTTAATACGATGAAGTAGTATGTCCCACTTATGTGTGTACTGCATGAAACAGTACGTACTTTGTGAAGGGGGCTGTAGAACGTACTTACAGTAGAAAAGAAAAAAAAATCAAAATGCAGCCTCAGTTGTAAAGTCTCTGCTCCCTGATCATCAGGTGTGTCAGAGTCAGATGTCTCCCTCTCCACCTGCCTCTCTTTTTCCCATTTTATTTTTTGTTTTTTTTAATAAGCTGCTAAAGATAGTTTTGTGATTGGAACACAGTAAAGGTGAAATGAATAGTTTCACACATCAGACAGATTGACTGAACCAGTAAAGAAGAAAAACTACTGTTTTCAAGCACGGTGGGAAACACAGTAATAATAATAATAATTGATCAGATTTATATAGCGCTTTTCTTACTCAAGGAGTAACTCAAAGCGCATACAATCAGCTGTCAATTATTCATTCACACACATTCATTCTGGTGCTGGTAGCTACGATTGTAGCCACAGCTGCCCTGGGGCAGACTGACAGAGGCGTGGCTGCCATTCTGCACCGACCACCACCTCAGTAATCCATTCATACACATTCACACCAGGCAAGGTGGTGAAGTGTCTTGCCCAAGGACACAACAACCATGACACGGGTTACAGGGCGGAATCGAACTGCCGACCTTCCGATCATTGACCGACTTGCTCTGCCACCTGTAGCTGTGAACAGGCACCACATCAACCTAATGATCATCAAGCACTTACACTATCACGACCCGGTGAAATTTTAACTCTCAAATTCAAAATTATCTTTAGTCGTGATCTGGAACCCTGTAAAACATTATTATACTGAACAACATATACATTATGTCTAATCCAAGCACTTCAACTAATCAGTGTTGTAAATGTAAAGTGTTGAAAAGAAAGTTGTTTTTAAATGTGTGACACACAGTCCAGTCAGTGTTTAACCGAGACTGTGTTTAAAATCTTAATCATGACATTGTGGTGGTTTGAAGTGTTTTTATTCCATTTTTATCATGTTGTGTTGTGACATAAGAAATTGCGACTATTTTTCAACAAACATGTTAAAACGTATCATAGAAACATTTTGATGTTAAATTATTTCACTTGTTTGGATGTTTTGGTCTTTTCTCCAGTATTTTCTTCAAACTGCTGCTGAACATGTTTATTTCATGATCAGTTTCCTGCTGCGTCTCCACAGCAAAAAAAATAACGAGGCTTTGGAGATTTGAATACAGCTTAGCTTTGCCACATCTCTGTCATCTGATCACATACTTAGAACACACTGATACAAACATGTCTTGATGTCATTTTCACTTACAGCTTTTATATTTTTGTTGGATCTTATTTATTTTGGATCATATTTATATTTATTTTTCAGTTTTGTCCTTTGAATTCAGTATCGACTTGTCCGATATTGTCTGTCTCTTCTTTTTTTCAGTTCATATTAGCCATTGATTATTGGAATTATACTTGTTTTAAAATCAGCTCTCTACTTCACGTGATCTTCTTCGGCAGAATGCAGTGACTTCATGTGTGTGTTTGGTGTTCCATGTGTAGTAGACATGCAGCATGTACTGAACATGGGGGTGAACATCAGCCAGACTTTGGTTATCTTTATGTTAAGACTGGACGTGAGAAAATCTTTAAACACCTACAACTGCTGTGTGTTCTTTGAAAACACCATTAAAGTGTGTGTGCGCGCGCGTGTGTGTGTGTGCGCGCGCGTGTGTGTGTGTGCGCGTGTGTGTGTGTTTGTGTTTTACAGCGGCTATGACTTTGGATACCTGATCAAGATTCTATCCAACGCTAACCTGCCTGAGGAGGAGGTGGACTTCTTTGAGATTCTACGCTTGTACTTCCCCGTCATTTACGATGTCAAGTACCTCATGAAGAGCTGTAAAAACCTGAAGGTACTTTGATAAATGATACGGCAGCAAGCGCACGGAGGCTGTGCTGCTTTATCCATTTAACACCTTGATCACTGCTGGGATCTGTTGTGAGGTTTTCTGCTTTGACTACAAGCATTGATCTCGAGTGAGTGACGGTGTTTTTGTTTTCAGGGCGGGCTGCAGGAAGTGGCTGAGCAGCTGGAGCTGGAGAGGATTGGACCACAGCATCAGGCCGGCTCAGACTCTTTACTCACAGGCATGGCTTTCTTCAAGATGAGAGAGGTAGGCGCCTCGAATTAGAGAGAGGACTTATGGAGGGTGAGTCTGAATAAGAACACTGGTCACTTCTGAGCCCTGATGGCAATCTGACTGGATCGGAAATATTAACATGTTTAAGATAGATAGATAGATAGATAGATAGATAGATAGATAGCCCAGCTCACAGGTACAGTCTGTCTGAACTGAATGCCTTGATTGACTTGTTGATTATTTTTAAGATAAACCTTAATTAATCCCACAGTGGGGACATTTACAGTGTTATAGATGAATAAACTATAAATATGCACAAGTGCTGCTTCTTCCATGTGTGGATGTTCAGATGTTGCACAAAGCAAAAGTGAGCAGACTTTTATTTTTTTAATTTCTCAGGTCAGTCCAGCATTTTCAGTTTACAACAACAAAGTCACATTGATATTAATGCGAGGCTTAAAAAAGCTGCAACATCTGTGCGGCTTTGTCCTTGGCATAACTTAGCACCGCAAGGAATCAACACATCCGTGCCTGCATCTCACATCATGATGGTGTCATGAGGACGTATTTGTCAAGACTTCCAGGAACCTAAAACCTTCAAAGTTGGGATGTTCAAAGATAGAATCAGTGGAGAAAGATTGTTGAAAGTTGGCTTAATACAGAGATGGAGGCGATTTGTATGTGCCAGGTTCACCCTCCCTGTTGCTCCCCCTCCATCCCCGTCCTCAGCACAAGTGTGCACAAGCTTGAACTTGCACAGGATCCACCGATGCAGTCTTATGTGGATCAGTCGATGCCGCGTTTTGTTTCCCATTTACAGAGGCACGGCCACCGGATTATTTTTCCAGCGCATACACAAACCCGACAGCTAACAGACCATGAAGAGAAATTCACTGAATCAAACTAAATGTGTATCGGATTAGAATCAGATACTTTACCTTTTATAGTTTTGCCCACAACACGTCCCTTATAATTTCCCAGTTCTTGAGGGGCTCTGATATTTGCTTGTTTTGTTGGACCTTAAGATGTTTACTGTCAGATATGACAAAGCAGCAAATCATCACATTCAAGGACCTGGACCAGAAAGGTTTTAGAATTTCTTGCACAATAAAAGGACTATTATCATTGCAGGTCTATTTTAACCTTCTGAGCTCCTGTCACATTTCTACTCCCTGTGGGCTCATTTTTCTCGGCAATATCAAGTCCTGCACCTCGATGGAAACAGCACATCAGTGGCATGAAGCAGAGAGAACTCAAGAATGTCTTCTGCAATATGACAAAAGTATAATGACATAAATCATAGAAAAAAGAAAAAAATGGAAGATGAATTTCTTTAGATGTTTATTTTACGGAAATCAGAAAAAAAATAAATCCTAGAATCAACATGTACAACATTTTTCCAAGCAGGTGTTACCAATATAGGAAGAGATAGTGGCTCTACCTGCTGCAGACACTTTACTGCTTATGTTTTACATTTATTTCTATTCTTGTCTCCTTTCTGCTTCATGTAAACACAGCTTGCAGTTCAGCTGAACAGTCAAAACATTTTTTGTCACCTAACTGTTGGATGCAGCTGAATCACTCATGACTTTGTGGTTTTTAGTGTTTTTACAGAATCTGGTTGTGTAAATGCTTTATTTATGGCAAAGTGAGACGTCCAGAATAAAGGGATTTTGATGAAGAATCACATTTTTACACTTAAATATTGTTTAATTTTCTCAACAGAGCTTCATGTCACGCACGAGTAGTTCAAGGACCATTGGAAAGTTGAGAACCTAGTTATTATTTCTGTTTTTACAGTATCTGGCTCCCATAAACGGTCAACATTTGGGGATTTTTTTTCTTTAAATAACTTGCTAAAGAGGGTTAAAGAGGGTTAAAGATGACCTTATGTGTCGTGTGCTTTGTGCGACTCTCCCCACAGATGTTCTTCGAGGACCATATCGATGATGCAAAGTACTGTGGTCACTTGTACGGGCTGGGCTCGGGCTCGGCCTACGTCCAGAACGGAACAGGAAACGCTTACGAAGAGGAGGCCAACAAGCAGCAGTCGTGACGTCACTCTGAAACTCTAGCATCCTGCGGTTCTCATCCACAATCAGCGCGCCGGCGCCGACGACGACGCCGAGCTCCGACAGCCGGATGACCATAATAATGGAAGAACAAAAGGAAAAAACAAAAAAAAAAAAAAACATACATATGCATCGTTTAGCAAGCTGTTTCTCATAGGCTCTGCTCACCTTAGACGACTGAGTATGATGGTGAAAAATAATCACAGCTGTCCTCACACGTGCCGCCGCAGCAGCATGTGTTTAGTCTTTTATTCCTACGAGGCAGCGATAGACAGTGTGGTTGGTTCAGCTAAAACTTAACATGCTTGACGAGACGGGATTTTAGTTTTCCTAAAGTGTTCTGTAGAAATGTTTTGCACTTTAAAGCTCTAACCTGATTTTATATGGAAAGCTGAAAATGTTTCTGGTGTCTCTCTTCCTCTTCGTTGCCTTCTCTACGTTCCCATTTGACATTGTGACTCTCAAACCGCCACTCTCACCACGCTCAGCCTTAATATCAGCTGCATTCTTATCTTTTAAACTTTTAATTTATTGTGCTGGTTATCTGACACTGAGCAGTCGCCCCCCTCCATTCAACACTAAGACACAAGAAGAGTGACCGCGCCGGGATTTCCTGAGAACGGGAGCTCTCGTTGAGTGTGTGTGTGTGTTCGTGCACTTGGATCTTGAGGTTACTTTTCGTTTGTTCCTATAAAGATAGTGTTTCTAATGACCTGAATAAGTCCCACTGTGAGACGCCTTTATCCAACTGGTGCACTCGGCTTTTGGATGAGATGCAAGTGAACGCTGTTTATTTTTTCTGTCTGCATTTCTGACAATGCTCAGTATAGCTGCATATAAAGACACTACTAGTATGTACCTAGATGCATACGGATGGGTGTCGTCGGAGGAATGCTGCCTGTTTGTGCATGTAAACACCATCGTTGACACAAGCACACATGAACAGACACCTCTTTACGTCGACCAACAGAGTCGCCAAACCTCTCGAAGAAATTCAAATTAAATTAAAATGGATTAAAAAAAAAACAGCTCATCAGCTGTCCAACATGCTGAGGTTCCTCTAAGCTGCTGAGAGTACATTTTCATTTTTAATTAAAACAAAAAAAAAAGAGTTTTAGTGATGTAATAAAAGAAGAAGAAACTTTTACTCATCGGATTAAATAACGTTGCTTTTTTAACATATTTGAGTTCACGTGTAGTTCTGGCCTTTGAATGACACTTTTGTGCAATTTTTTTTCTCCCCTCCTCCTCCTCCTTGTATTGCTTTCCAGTTCACTCATGCTGCGTAGAACAGCCGCATGTACTAAAACATTTGAATAAATGCTGTGTTGTTGAATAGTATCCTGAACTTTGCATAGGTTTGTGTTGAGGTTTAGGTTCTTATTCCTCTGCAACAGAAAAGCTGAAAACACTATTTTTTTTCTCTCTCTCTCTCTCTGCAGCACATCTTTCACACTGTAAAGGAACAAAGGAAGAATATATGCAATATATTAAAAGAGAAGAAAAAAAAGAGGATATTTTTTTAGGTTATTTTGTAAATAAAGGCTTGAAAGTTTTCTACCATAAAATGCTCGTGACCCATGACATCTTTGAATGACCAGTAAAGAATGGAATGAGACTGAAGATGAGCTCATTTTATTCTTATAAGGCATCACAACTGTACAGTACATTTGCCTCACACATCCAGATCGTCTCTTGAGTCGTACAGACGAGAATAGAAAAATATAGATTGACACGACTGAAGCTTTTTTTTTTCTTCTTCTTTTTTTTTTTTGAGACAAGCATACATTCATTAAACATAATTTCCACTGATGACGGTTTATAATCATCTCCAGCCAAAGACAGAATCTTTCAGAAGATGAAAGTACAAAGCGGCTGGAGCAGAATTTCTTTTTTCTTCTTTTTTTTTTTTTCTCTTTGCTCTGCAGCACAACGATAGAAAAACAGCAGCATCTGCCTTTTGATGGTGAGCAGATCTGCAGCAGCATCACACGGAGGCTTGTTTGATTTTTTTTTTTTTTTTTTTTGCTGGCGGCCAGTGTGCCGGCCCTCCAGAGACAAACAGTCAGGAAGCTTTTTGGCCAGCAGTTTGACATGTACTTTCTTCAGGCTACCAGACAGCAGCTCACATATTTGGCAGGGAAAAGGAGGGGGGCGGCTGTCGCAGCACAGAGCACCACCGACTTCAGTGTAACAGCAACATCCTCACTCATGCTATAAAGAGTCAGAAGAGCCCTTATTGAAATGTAATTACTAATGACTACACTTTTTTTTTTTTTGTTCCAAGCAAAAAAACAAAAAAGGGGGATGTTGTGGTACGCTTCACTACAACAAAGTGACATCCTGAGATGAGAGCATGCATCATTTGATATCCACGATATTCAACACAGTGGCTGGAAAAACCTGCCCTCCCCCTGCCCTCCAAAGTGAAATTTAAAAAACAAAAAAAAATGGCAATAAAAGGAATGTAGGTTACAGCACGTTAACACCACTACTAGTCTCTACTCAAACATTTGGCAAACTCATAACAGCGTTTACTTGTGTGCTAAGCTATGAAAAACAGAAAGAAGCTGGTAGGTAATTTTCTGAAAACTGTTAACGCACACACACAGATTTAAGTGCAAAACTCCTCCTAGCTGTCGCCGCTCTGTGCTTGTTTATATACAAATAAAAGGAAAACATTTCTGGAATGCAGTTTTTACATTTCTGGTCTAACATTCAGACCGCAGCAGATACAGTTGTCCTCAAGTGTTCAAACCCTTCCATTGAAGAAGAGGCAAAATTCACAATAGTCACTCAAATAACTAGAAAAAAAAGTAGAAAGTGAAAAAAGTAATAATAAATAAAAATTTGCAAAATTATAATTTAGTGAAATAAGACGTTGCTTTTGACTTGTGGTTGAAAAGAATAATTTAAAAAAAAAAACTGTCCCGGGCTAATTAGAGCACTTTGCTGATGAGCAGTGAAATCTAAACACCTGTCAACAGGTGCAGAAGTCTAAAGAGGGTTGATTGCAGTGATTGGTTCAAAGGGTTGTTCAACAAAATATTAGGGTTTTTTTATATTTCTGTTGAACCACAATTCAAAAGCATGATTTTCATTACATTTTTATTTATTATTACTTTTGTCAATTTCAACTTATTTCAGTGACTGAAGCTGTTTTTTTCCTTCTTTAATGAATACAATTGAGGACGACTGTAACATCGCTGATAACTGATGACAATCGTCTGCGTGTTTGTGTGTGATGTAGAAACTCTCAGAAGCAGGGTGCACTGTGGGAAATAAACCATGATGTCGCCACCACGTCACGTTCTGATAGGCACAAACACAACGGAGGGGGCAGCGTAGACCTGCAGGGTCAAACACAGCGGGTCAGTTTGTTGGGTCAGTGCTACTATGGGGTTTGCTGCTCTGCGAGGGTAAACTCACTGTTCTGGTTGGATGTCAGCTGTAACCGTGGTTACGCCTCGTTCTCGATGGTCATCCCTGGGTTACTGGCACCTGAGCAGACACACAAATGGAATAAAATGCATCGCCTGGCTTATGAAGTTTTTCATTATGGTGTGTAAGCAGGAAGCTTCAGAGAAATCCATTATCAGGTCATCCCATGCCAACTCACATAACCCTCTATAATGGAAAACATAAAAGCTCTGCGGAAGTAGATTTTATGGCTTTTGTGTTGGCACAGAGGTAGACTTCAGGAAAGACGCAGGAGATATGACCCCCATCAATATATATAGAACGCTCGCATTTGTCCTGCTGACAAAAACAAGAAAGATGCCGATAAACTATGTTCTCTACTAAAGCCCGGGTGTTTATAAATTAATAGTAATTAATGTATTATTGACATGAATAGGGGCTACATGCTCATTCAGAGGCTAACGGTTACCTCATCAAACAGAAGAGTAAATGTTTATCCGTGTTTACTCATTCAGGGGAGAATATTAAAAGAGAAAAGATGATCTCCAGGGTAATAAATATTTAAACACCACATAGACCCTTTCTGCATTATATTCCATTACATTCTGAGTTGTCATTTGGAGCCTGATTTTTGTGCTTTCTTTGCATAAAAGTAGATATCTCCACCATAGATTGCAAAACAAATTCACCAGAATGCAAGAAATGTAGCGTTTAGTGCTTCAGATTTCCTGTGGGAGGAGCTGAGTGTGTTCAAACAAAACCTGCACCCGGGTGCACCGGCTGGTTTTACATTTCACAGGTGTAAATAATAAAGTGACCGGTGTGAGCAGGTATCACACAGACAGAAGACCTTGAAGTCAACACAGCACTAATGTATGAAATAAAACCTTTAGACATAGACAAATCATTTCTATGTGTGACTTCTAACGTTCATGTTGCAGCTAAAGTCAGAGCAACATCGGAAGTTAAGAATATATAACATTTTGTGCACAAATAACAAATTTGTGACTCGTGAGGTTCAATTACCAGTGGGAGCTTCTTTCATATTTAGTTTTTTAATAACAAAGCTGTGTGCTGGTATGATTTAACTACCCTCTTGGTTACATATTATACTGATAATAATATAGATATATATGTATTTTACAAGAGAAGAGGCTTGCTCTTAAGGTGGGCATCCTTCCCTGGTTTAACCTACAGGAAGTGAAAAGTATAAAATATTTGCTATTTTTGGAAAAATAATCAATATAACATCTTTAAGTGTTGTTTACAAAGCTGCAGTAAAATTTCATGTATGTTTTTTTTTTTTTTTTTAATTAAATTTCAA